GGATCATAATAACTTTGCAATTCAGCAAATAAAATAATGCGAACGAGTGACCGATCCGATAAAAAGAAATTTTTCCTCTTTCAGAATACAACTGTCGTGGAAAGTCACCTATCTTGTAAATCCAGATTTCAAGGAAACAATGATGGCGAAACATTGCGAGGAAAGAATTTTTTCGGTGGAGTATCGTTCTGACAATATGAAAACAGCTCTCAGGTTTTCGTTTTTCTAAATTTCCTTCGTTCTGCGAATATAATTTTGAAAAGTTTAATCAATGGAAATTATTTAAATCTTTAAAATAGATATTAAATGGTTAATAGATATTATTATATACCATTATATAACAATTTCTTGTTCTCAAATTATCGAAGTATAATAAATGGTAATTCTTTAGTATCTTGTGTGATACGAACGATTACTCAGATATTTACATTTGTGCTCAGTAATTCATTCCGTTTGTGTTTATTAATGCAGAGAAACTGTTTTCCTATGCATAAGATTAATAAATATCTAAAGATGAATGATTCATGTATTAACGCCTTGCGCCACTTCGCACTGTTATAATTTTGCGTTCAAAGAACGAAAAAATATGCATACGTTAAGGGTTGATTTTAACGTTTCAACACAAATTTTCATTTTGCTTTTTATTTGAAATAAGATTTCGATCACTGAATTATACAAAAATGTCGGAATAATAGTGCTCTTAAATTTGTATATAAGTCCTTTAAATTAATTTTAATAATAATTTATTGAGAAACCATTTCGAATATAGAACCATAATATTATAGAATGTTCATCGCAATTAAATAAAAATCTTGGATACCATTTCAGAGACTATACCGAAATATAATTCGTTAAAAAACATACTTCAGACATGCATAATTCAACCACGTTAAAACGAATTCAATGAAGCTTGAATGACAAATGAATGATAGCAAAGCATACGTTTAATTGGAATTTATGGTCCGCAATCATTGTCAGTTGTTGATTTATACCCAATGATGACATCTATTTCACTTTCAGATCAGATATACCAAAGTTAATTCAATGGAACTAGAATAAACAATAATAAAATTGAAAATTGAAAATATATAAATTGAAAGTGGTCAACTAGTAAATAATAACGAGTAATTACAATACAGTCGTCTAATACAACAATAAAAGAGCGCAGTGTAATAAAAACATTCACAATTTCATCATAACTAACTTTCTGTAATAAATTGATACCCTTTTCATTTATGATTACAAAATTATCATTCTCTAAGATAGTTAGCGATAAAAATACTTTCGCCTCTATAAATCATTTCAACAAGTTAAATACAAAATAAAATTAAACCGAATAATGCAGTTTTTCTTTCAACAATTCATACAGGTCTTTAAAATTTATAAGTCCAATTAAAATATACGATCTATTTACGACTCACTCTACTATCACCTGCTCAGCCAAACTGATCATATACGAAACACGTTGGTCTGATCTAAACGATCCCATTCTACTTTCCACGAAGGTTACCTCAAAGTTGACCCATAATCAGCAAGTCAGCCATTACACACGGAGCTTGTTAAAATTGATGAGCGTATGAATGTACAAGGCAAAAAGCGATGCACGTGAAATCGTGTTTCAGTTTGTTTGTTTACTTACATCTGGTTTACGTGACAGATCGTCAGGACTTTCTGCGCTTGGATGCGTCGTCGTTCGCACTTTGGAAACGCGGCGAGATCGTGAATGTCATAGAGCCAGCACGTACTTGACACCAGCGCGGCAAAATACCTTTAGACTTATCACTGAAGGCGATTGTTTCAACGTAATCGCATTTTCAAAGCAGGAACGATCTGTTTGTCAACGACGGTCAAGAAAAACACCGCGAGGACAACGTTTTCGATAAGAACGCACGTCGCTTTAAAAATATTCCGGCTGAAATTCCAGATCCTTTTATCCTTCTATCGGTCGCTCGATGAAAACAAACCGATAAATCGTTCGGGAACGAAGAGAACATCCGTCATGGAAGAAATAGAAACCCGTAAGCGATCCAGGAACACTTCAACCCTCGAGTATCTTCGATCCTCCAAAATTGAACATAAACTGCTGCACTTTCAATATAGTCTGAATTAGGGGTTTGCGTTAGGTTTTTCGAATAATCTGAAGAATCTTCGAAGAGAATACTCAACAGACTTCACAGGGAAATCAGAATCTCCGATGTTGAGAACATGTATATCCACTTGCGAGTAGAAATTTGTGTACAAACACCAGTTTCGATGAACCTTCGATCTTCTTTTTCTTTTGGTCTTTGTTTTATAAGTGAAATTTCTCGAAGTAAACTGGCAGTGGCGTTGCAGATTGTAAGTGTATCCTCGCCCGAGTGGAAACTTCCGCGCACGATTCCTTTCCAAATCGTCGACGTTCGTTCTTCGTGTTTCTTTGCGGATTTGGCTTTGGGTTCTTGACTTCCTTGCTTGAAGAGGGGGCTGTTTACAAACCGACGGTGGAACGTGTCTGAGATGATACTAAAATAATTGGCCGGCAGCGTCAATTGTCCAGCGGAAGCTGATCTTCGGTGGCCACACTGATTTCGTTTTGCGCGCGATTCTCGTTGAAATCGTTTTGGCGTACGTTGCGAGTCAACATTTAATAGCTTGATCCGCGAGAGACGGTGCGTGGAAATGAAATGAGTGTCGGAGCATTGAAGCGCTAAAAGCTACCTGCCACCTCCCACTAACTGTCATGATGGTTGCCTGTCGAGTAGAAACGTTCCCGTACGTTTCCTAGTCGATCGGCTGACATGCTGTTGACAACCGTGAAGGGGGATGTCCTCGTTAGTTACCCCTAATTTCTAAAGACACTTGATTCTTTAAGATCGCTGTCCGAATTGACAAATTGGGCGAATATCGTTATAAATTGAGGATAAAGGAAATAATATTTCATAGGATTCATTATCGGAATTGTTTGTTTGGTGTTGTCTCGGGGATATTTTTGAAAGGGTTGTTTTAAATTTGAATAATTTCAGGCGTGACTTAATGTCGTGATTAACCCTTCGCACTCGAGAGGCGACTCTCAGTCGTCATTCGCGTTAATATTGCAAAAATTATAAAATCAAAAATTCGATATTCAATTTTGAACAGTGTATCATTATATGAAACGTAGAAATAAAATAGCTCTGACTCTTAAGTGATGCAATATTCTTCTTTGTGTAAATTGTAAATGGTATTACCGAAATTTCATCAGAAAGTAATAAATATTTATAATGAAAAAAATATCGAGTGGAAACTGTTAAACAAAGGGTTAAACAAATGATTTGAAGTTATTTTCTGTTTTATTTTGCAATGGATTAGTTTTTCAAATATTATTGACGGCGATTGTTGGTACGTTCACTAAGAATGATGAATTATTTATGATAACCTGTCATTTTTAAATAGGAAAACCATTAACTTCAGAAAGGAATCGAAGGTGATCATTTAAATGCTAAGAATCTGTACTAATGCTAATGTCTGAACTGAATGCAAAGAAGTAAAAAAGAATGAATTATGCGAGCGTGGAATTTAGCATTTATAACATTTATCACATTCTAATTTATGTTTTCATGTTGACAAGTATATCATTAGTCAGATAATAGATCCTTTGACTATGAATAAAATAAGGAAATAATAGATAGTCATTGAGATAAAATGATTTAGTAGCTTTGGTAAATGTTTAATAACATAACAGACTTTTCTACTGTTGTAACATCAAATAATTGTATTACCTTCTACACATTTATTCGTATAATCGAAATATCAGTGTTCGTCGGTTTTAAGTATATTATGAAATTAATTAATCGTACATTCCCAACGAAAGATCTGCACTTAAGTAATCCAATTCCGATCTCTTTTCCAACTTTTCGCATTTTTCGAGAATTTGTAGAATAAGTAGAAGAGTCAGACAACTTTTTCTACTGTGTTTTAGTTCCATAACGAGTAAATACTTTTTAAATACTCTTTAACCCTTTACAATCAGAATTCCAGCTGTACTGTCGTACTAAATTTCGGTTTTTAGAAATATCACACCATAACACATTATGAAGTATAAATATATGTGCATACTAAACTCTAGTCAAAGAAGCGTAATCTAGTACTGTTTGGCCACAGTAAACAAACAGCCTTAACCCTCTATTGTATTCCATTCCCGAACGGAAACTTAATTTCCAATCATTTATAGTTTAATAAACGCTTCTTTTTTATTTGGTACCTGTATACATTTGAAGTTCCCATATGGGAACACTCATAAAATGCAATAAATAGCATTGTTTACTAATGTTTCCTTATTTACTTCATTACCACTTCAACATTTAAATAGAACTACAGCCATGTATACATTTTAACTCATAAAAATTCCTACAATATAGGGTTAAATTTGATTTGACAAAACGCGTTTACAGTAATCGATCTATTGCAAGCAAACAAAAAATTTTTGCCAAATGCAGAGATTTAATGAATAATATTCAGACTAATAACTTCTTTCTTCCGTTTTCTTGTTACACTCTTTCCCCCTGTTTCACCTTCCGATATCCCTTTCTTCCTCCCCCGTTTCGAAGAAAAGCGATATGCAGATCGCGGAACGTGAAATCAGCTGTTTTTCTCACAAATATTTTTCAACGTGAAACATTACGTCGCGCGAGCAAGTATATCGGAAAAGAAAAAAAAAAGAAAAATTCATTAGAGTATCCCGCGGCGCCTAACAATTGGCGATTTCTATTTTATAGTCCCGATTACGGGGAACAATTAAATGTTTACCAGACGAAGACAGCTGAAGAAATACCGGCACTCCTTTGCGCACAGATGGAATGAGCCTTGCCCCAGTGACGCCGAGGTCGGCATATATATTTCCATTTTTCATACTACCTTACCCGAGAAATCAGTTTCGCGTCGCCGCTCGCGTCCCGGCTTTTGTATCTTAAATTAATGGGTCGACAGATGACGCGTTCGCTACGGACTAACCGCCATAATATTTTCGATGATTTCAAACACGCGACGGGTCTGTGCAAAATAATAGGTTGATGCAAAAGTTTTGACGTTCTCTTATAAGAAATAAAAAGAAGAGTTCTCAACCGTTCGCTGGTTAAATCAAGACTGAATAAAAACGAAAAAATATGTGTCCCCTATACACGTTACGACAGTTTGGAAATAAATGTTATTCGTTCCGGAAGAAAAACTTTGTTTGTTGATTATGTATAGAAAACGGCGAAAGTTCTGATAATATCATCTCGAGTTTCCAAAGAAGAGTCTGTAGGAATGGAATCCACAAATTACCATCACGCTGGGAAGGGGTCATTAGTAAAGACGGAAATTATATTGCTCGATAAAGATTAATAACTGTATTGAAAATGTATTATTTTTTTTTAATTAAAAGACGCACAGAAATTTCTGGTACGAAATTTCAACAACGAAAACACTCGAACAATGAAGGGGGGAGAGAATAACACAGTTTTTTGGTTTTAACAATGACTTCAGAATCCTTGAATTATACGGAATTAATTTCTCATCGTCACTGAAACTGTTGAGGGCATTTTCGAGATGGAAAAATATATTATAATTGAAGAAAGCTTTTTACTTGTGAATATAATGAAGGCTGGACATTTTTTAAATGTTAGTTGGTGTTTCCAAAAATCTTTGATTGAAGAAACACTTGCACTATTTTGAGTTTTATAAGTATTGTAAATTTTATTTTTTGTTCTACTGTAGTGTAGTTTTAAGAAAATTATTTATGAAAATAGGAATATATGAAATTTATTTACGTATATTATGGTTCTTGAAGAAATGTTTAATTTACGTTCTTTATACCCATCAATAGAGATATCTAAGGTGTGATAATGATTATCTATGATGAAAGTGAAAAATATATGTTGCTTAACATTTTGGGATCTGTTTAATTTATAAAACAAAGTATTTTTGATCAGAATTGTTTGTTCTTCAATGGCAAAAAGAACTCAGGAAACAGTTTTTTAAAATAGGAATTTATTCATTGATCAGTAAAAACTGAATATTGTTAAAATGAAATTGAATATCTATAATGAAATACGTATGCGGGACTGGATCAGAATATAAATAATTTATGCAATATCAAAGAAAATGCGTATTTCATCCGCCACTCTGAAAAACTGTTTTCACCATTGAATGTGGATATTAGCAGCTATAAGAAGATACATGTATTCTTAGAAGAACTTTTGTCTATCTTTTTGCTAAATTCCATAAAAGTTAACATATTACACTCGACTGGTGTCCTTCGTTAGTTTTTACAACTCCCACGCTGTGCAACGCACCTTGAAAAACGTGTATAATAAATTACTATGCCATTACACATATAAAATAAAAGTACAACATCAACAAAAATGTAAAACAATAAAACTGAAACAGTTAAAACTTTCAATGTTGTACAAATATTGTGCATATCTCTCATTTTACAATCACTATCATAGGTTTTGTACAATACTAGATAAAATAATTAGATGATATTATGCATCCCTTAGTAAATTCATCATTAACCCCTGGATATCGAATGCTCTTTTTATAGATCATATGATAGAATTTCTATTAAGCATAGATATTGAAAAAGAATTTTAAATAATAATTTATGAATATTTTTAATTGCATATAGTACACTTATATGTGTACATAAATTTGTCTTATTTATTAAATAATAAAATTTATAATCATATTTTTCTTATTTATAAAATAAGACAATCTATAAATACAATGACGATTCCTACTGGGTTAGAATACTTCTGCATTCATCATTCGAAAGTTAAATAGAGAAAGGTTCATTTTGGAAATTCATTATAGAAGAATGTAAGTTTTTTGAATGATTTCCTATGTGTCAACCGAGTATACCATTGTGTGCTTATATGATAAAATCTTAGAGGTGCAATATTGAAGCAGTATGCCAAGAATGTACCCTTGCTTATAAGTGGTTGCCCTTCTACGATCGTGTACGATTGTCTTTCACAGTACAAAGAAACAGCTTCTAAATAAAACTTTCGGTCCTACCGGATAATTTACATAGGAGCTATTTTCATCAGTCAGTAAACTAAAATTAATAAAACAATCCCATATACAATAAAATACTCTTCATTTACTCGAAACTCGTACTAAAACAATTTCTTATGCTTTGTTTTTAATTCGAGGAAAACAAGGAAAGAGATGATTAAATGTAAAATAAACATGGATTAAAATATAGTTAAAATACTAAAAACGTCTCTGTGTCATACAAGACCTAAAATAGTTCTTAAAAAAATTGAACAATACTAAAATTAGTATCTCGATATCTTCTACTTGTTAATTTCTTCTATTTGAGTGTAAAACTTTCAGGTAAAGAATTAGAAACTTAATCTGAACAACAATTTCAATGATAGAATTTCTCACTGGAAACTGATGATTGATGTCTCCTTTTGCAGTGCAGAAGAATCAATAATCAGTAAAACGAAACACAATGAATCAACAGATTTATTCGATTATATTAACACGTTCGCGGACAGTGCAAATTGTAATGAGCCGCAAAAATAGGAGAAATGCAAATGCCGCACTCCGAGGGTTAAAGTGCATAATAATTCCAAAAAATTAAGGCTATATAGAATTAAATTCATACAACAATGTGGCTTATAAATTTCAATGTTACAGCATTCATGTAATTTTGCATCACAATGAAAATGAATGCTATAGCGTTCACGTCCGCGAACGTGTTAAATGGCAAATAACGTAACATTACAAGTAATCCTAAAATGAAG